CACCATCTCCTGGGTCCCGGCCCCGCCCCCGCCCGCTGTGACCCCTCAGCCCCCGGCTCCCGAGGGTGGCGTGGCTCTAACAGCCGCCTGCACTGCCTGCTCCCCCTCCCCCCATCCACCTTGGGGAGACCTGGGGGCGTCTAAGGCCGTGCCCCTCCCGTGTGCGCCACACGGAGGAACACGCGCAGGCTGGCGGGGAGCACCCTCTCCTGAGCTCGGCCCCTCCCTGGAATGGCCGGAGGGCAGGAGGGGGCACTGCCGCCGCCACTCCCTGGTGATGACAAAGGCGGGCACGGCCGCACCAGCCGTGGGAGGGTCTGGGGTCCCACCGTGACAGCATGTCCCGCTCCCTCCTCTGCGGAGGGCCCCAGTGTCCTGTGCGGCAGGGATAGCCTCGAGACTCGGTGCTGGCGGGCGGGACGGGGCAGCCCAGCGGGGCCTCCTGAGACCGCGCCTGCGTCCTGCACGAGGAGCCACTGCAGTGACGGCCACTTCAAACATCGGGACTGGGGCTCAGTGGCCGCCTTGTCACCACAGGGGGAGGCTGCGGGGACGCCACCGTGACAGCCCCACAGAGCCCATGGGGTGGCCCTGGCGGGAGTTGCTTTTCTACTGCTTGAGGCGAATCCCCACGGAATTTCAAGATCCCTGAAACCTGCGGCCCTGCCTGGGGCAGAGCTCGAAACCGCCGTGAGCCCCGCAGGGCTGTGGGGACGTCCAGCCCACTGGGCGTGGAGCCCTAAATGGGCCCTGGCGGCCTGTCTTGCCCCTCGACATGCAGGGGGGCAGGGCTGTGCGCCCAGCCAAGAATGGGGCTGGGCCTGGCAGTGTGCGTGAGCCCTCGGCACGGCAGGGCTGACGCTCGGCTGGGGACGGGCCGCCGTGTCCTTGCTCCCCGAGTGGCTTCTCGACCGCAGATTTCCTTTCCTGCCCTCGTCTCTGTGGGCGCCCAGGGTTCCCTGGGGTCTGGGGCGGCTCTCTAAGGGGCCACGTCACGTGGCTTCTTCCCTGGTGCTTTCTAAGACCCCCAACCCCTCTCCTGGCCCGCTGCCCCCAAACCCACTCCCAGAAGGGGCCGCCGTTTGCCCACAGCACCTGCCTGGTGGAGCCTGGACCACGGGGTCGGTCAGCTGAGCCCCCAGGACGCCGGGCCCCTGGAAGCGTCCATCCCCCTGCCCTGGGCAGCAGGTGCGCCAGGCTCCCAGCAGGTCCGGGGAGGTCAGAGTCTGCAGACATCACTCTGCCCGCAAGGAGCGGCTCGAGGGCGGCCCCGTGCGTGCCCTGCACGCGCTCGTGGCAGAAAGGGGCTGCGTGGGAGCAGGTGGCGGCATCACCGTGGGCGACCTCCCCTCACCCAGCCCGCTGTCGGCCCCCTCGGTGCCCGCCGGCAGCTCACGCCAGCACCCGCGCGGCAGGAGGGGCTGGCCGGGGAAAGGGTTAAGCTTAATCCGTCCTGATTCCTGTTTAATATCACGCTCTCCCCGCAGGAGCCCGCAGCTGCGAGCTGATTGCGCGCGCTCATTATGCAGCCCATGTCGCTAATGGCCTGTGACAAAGGCGTGCGGCTTCCCGGCCCTACCCCCGAGAGCCAATTAAACACACATACTCCCTTCCTGTTTGCCGCACACCACAATGAAATTAAACTGGATTTCAAAACCGTCTTCTCCTAAAGACGTCTCTTTACGATAATTAATGCGCGCTGCTCCCCGCACGGCTGAAATATTCATCAGGAGCGCGGCTGCCCCACACTCTGCTGCTGCCCCCGGCGGCCCGGCCCGCGCCCTGTCGGCAGGGTCCATGGGGCTTGGGCTCCCCAGCTCACAGAGAGAAAAATATCTGCAGCTTCTTATCTGAATTTAAAAATAAGAGGGCCGCAGAGCAGGTCAGGTTTCCCGGGCAGGACCACCTAGGGGCTGCGGAGGGAGGGAGGGATGGGCAGGAACAGAACCTACGGGGGAGGCAGCACTAAGTGTTCGATTGCCGTAGTCGTCGTGGGACACCAGAGGAGGACCCGGGCGGCTGTGCCTCACGCTGGCCACGCCCCGGCCGCAGACTGAGGAGCAGGAGCAGGTCCCCCAGGCCTCCAGGCCCCCCACCCCGGTCCCCGGCAGGCCGGCACCTGCCCTGCAGATGCGCATTCCGGCACTGGCCTGTTCTGGGGGCTCACACGTCTGCCCAGCAACCCCCTGCAACGCCCCACGCACCTGCCTGTCCTGAGTGACCAGTGCGCACCTTGCAGGCAACACCCTCGCCGCTCCTGCGCCCAGCCCGGGACTCCCCACCCTGCCCTCGGCCTGCAGCTGGGCGATGATGCCAGCACAGACCTAACCTGGGGCCCTAGTCACCTACTGCTCCGCCCCCTCCACTGCCGCGGAGCTGGGTCCTACCTGTTTTGAACCAGCCGTCCGAGGTGAACGCGGTTCTAGTTTCTTCTGGTTTGTCCCAGTACTCTCGGAACACGGAGGGGCCCCTGACCAGCAGCTCCCCTTCCTTCTCCTCGAAACCCGGGGTCACCTGCGGAGAGAAACGTGCCGTCGGGGCCGGGCACACGCCTGCCCACGGCAGGGTCCCCACCTGCACCCGTGCACCCACACGGGCCGCGCGGGCTGCTCTCTGCCCACGAGGGCCACGCGCTTTCTGAAGTCAGGTGCTTCGTGGAAATGGTTTCAGAAACGCAGCTCTGCCCGGGGAGAGCTCAGTCACTCCAGGGCTCAGCGTCCCCCACTGTCCTTGGCACTGGGAGCCGTCTGTCACCTCACTGCTCTCGAGACAGCGTGAAAAGCAGGTCCCTCCACCTTGTTCTCCAGACCCTAAGACATCACCGGCCCAGGCCTCAGGCCCTTGGTGATCCCTTCCTGAGCCTCACAACACGATCACTCCAGGCCTCCTGCCTGCGTGGACGTCCCCACTCCGTCTGCGTGCTTGTACATCTAGCCACCAGCTGTGGCCCCCGTGTGTCTCAGAGGGCTGCCCGGCTTACCCAGCGCCCAGGGGCCCCGTGGGACCTGCCCCAGCCACTGTCTCTGCCTTCCAGCGGTGGCCGCTACGCCCCTGCCAACCTGCCCTGCGGGCGTTCTCCCGGCCCGTGGTGCCTGCCACGTTCTTGGGCCTTGCAGTTACTTTTCCCACAGTCCAGCCCCTGAGACGCCGAGCGCCTAATCCATTGCGTGGTTTCTGTGTCCTGGTTAGACCCAGGAGGACACACGCTGCCTTCAACTTGGAACAGAATGTCACCCTCTGGGCCAGCGTCCCTACAGCCCTGCAGCCGGGAGACCTGTGTCAGCCACTCTGTCCCTCTATGTGTGGGACACCTCATAGCCTGAGTGAGGATGGCAACCCCAGAGGAGGCGAGGCCACCTCCTTCCCGCGGGCAGGTGCACACCGACGCCAGACACCGCCTGGCCAGCCCCAGGGAAAGGCTTCCCGAGAAGGAAGACGCCACGGCACCCCGCCTGTGACACACCCGCCAGCACCACGGCCGCTGGCCCTGAGTGCCACGGCTGCGGCCTGGTGCCGTGGACACGCACAGGGCAGAGCCGGGCCTCGGGACGAGACTCCGCCTACAACTCTTCTCGGCTGGAACGACACGCGCCCCACGGGCTCAACACCACACAGTCAGGCCACGCCCACCCGACCCCTGCTCACGATGACCACGAGGTCCACGGAAGGCAAGTGTCTCGTCGTCACTTTCGATTTCCCTGGGGAGAGGGGGGGAAAACGAGCCGCCAACACCAGCCCCAACCCCTGAACAGGAGCTGCGCCCTGCACAGCTGAGCGTGGCGCTGACCTCGGAACAGCAGGGTCGGCTTGACGAGGTCGATGGCACCCAACACTTTAGAGACAGGGACACAGGACCAGCCGCAGAAGGGCAGAGACCGAGCAGAACGAGCTCCTCGGGACACGACCATTGGCCTAAAGTCCTGCGTGACGTTTCCCTCGACTCGGACAGAGCGACCGCAGGGGCCTCCGCGACTCCTCGGAAAAGCTCCAGCAAGACAAGTGACGCCCACGTCCCTTGGAATCGAGGTTCAGAGAGTCCAGGCCGGGCACGGCGGCTCACGCCTGTCATCCTAGCACTCTGGGAGGCCGAGGTGGGCGGATTGCTCAAGGTCAGGAGTTCGAAACCAGCCTGAGCAAGAGTGAGACCCCGTCTCTACTAAAATATAAAGACATTAATTGGCCAGCTAAATATATATAGAAAAAAATTAGCCGGGCATAGTGGCGCATGCCTGTAGTCCCAGCTACTCGGGAGGCCGAGGCAGGAGGATCGCTTGAGCCCAGGAGTTTGAGGTTGCTGTGAGCTAGGCTGACGCCACGGCACTCACTCTAGCCTGGGCAACAGAGCGAGATTCTGTCTCAAAACAAACAAACAAAAAACAGAGAACCCAGAGCAGAGCTGGGGGCCACCAGCACGGCTGTCCCCAGGGCCCGGCTGTCCCGAGGGGACACTTGGTGGCTCCAGGCGGCACCGGCAGTCAACGTCCAGCTGTCCCTGCAGGGAGGCCCCTCTCCGTGTGGCGGGCGTGGGGCTGAGGACACAGGCGCACCTGCCTGCGTGTCACTCCGACTGCTCCATCCTGATGGCTCAACAGCGGCCCACGCGGGACCCTGGCACGGCCCTCACCTGCCGGCAGCGCAGTCCTGGGGTCAGGGGCGGTGGCAGCTGCCGCCACGCTGCAAACGGCTCCTGCCGGCTGAGGACCTGCCGTCACCAGCGACACCCCTGTCTCTGCTGTCAGCAGCAGGTGCTGGAACGCCCCCCGGGGACTCCCGACAGGAGCCCACGGACACGGCTCTGCCTCTGGGAAGACGCCGGAGCCCTGGCAGGTGGGCGGGGGCTGGGGACAGGCCCCAGGTGAGGAGCGGGGACCCACAGCGGAGCCCCCACCCCCAAGGCACCCGCTCCCGCTGTGGACTTGGGAACGGCCGGGGAGGGGGCCTGTGTTAAGAGCACCCTGGGCCGGCAGGAGAGAGTCTGACCCGGGGAACCACGCGGTGCCGGACCCCTGCGCAAGGGCCCGCCTCAGCCCCGGCCCGTCCAGAAGGCTCTGGCCACCCGAGGGCGGATGAGGCAGCAGGAGAAAGGCTGGAGAGCGGCCCAAAGCCCCGCGTCGCCGAGCGTCCCCGTGGGGACGAGGCTCTGTCTGTCTGCACAGGGAAGGGCGGCACCCGGACACACTTGTGGGGTCACGGCGGGGGCGGATCTGGGGTGCTCCAGGGGAGGACACAGCGGAAGACAGTGCGGGTCTGAGGAGAGCGCCCCCCTGCGTGCGGGGACGGCTCCCCCTGCACAGCCTGGCCCCGGGCCGCTGCGGGGAGGCTCAGATGCGGCAGTTGGCCGATGGCGGGCCGGGGGCCGGGGTGCTGGTGGCCGGGGGGAGGGCAGGCGGGTGCGGAGCAGCCTGTGTCCAGGGCGACAGCTTGCATATGGACAGACGATGAGATAATTGGCTTTTTAAAGGGGGAAATAAAGAGAACCGAGCTCGCGGCCTGGCGGCCTCCCGCACAGCCCACTCCTCGGCAGAGCGGTCGACCCTGTGCAAAGCCTGTGGCTGTGGCGTGGCCTCTCAGCCGTGTGGCCACCTGTCCAGTGACAGACCCCCCCGTCACTGGCTGGTGCTCGGCTCTCATGTAAGTGAGCGATTTGGAAAATAAAAAATACAGAAAGAGAGAGACAAAGCCTGATGCGCTCCCAGGGTCTATGGCGGCAGCAGCTGGGCAGCTGGGCGTGAAACACGCATCGTGGCGGGCGGGCTCGAGTGCAGCCCCCGGCTCCCCCGCCCCCCCGGCCCGCAAGGCTCCACGGAGGGACGGGCTGACTCCCAGGCGCAGCAGGGAGAGCGGCTGCGGTTCTCAGCCTGGAGCAGCCGTGAAGGTGGGCCGACTCCAAGTGCAGCAGCCGGAACCTTCCCCGGGGCAGCCAGAACCTTCCCCAGGGCGAGGGGAGAAGGCGCCAGCTCTTCCGGCACCTGACAAAGCCGCACACTCAGGAAATGGCCACAGCAGACAAGCAGGCGCCAGGGACGGCCGTGACTGAGACTCACACCCCACGGCTGCTGGCCACGTGCGGACCAGCCACGGCCGGGGCACCCACGGACTCCGAACACGCTGGAGACAGTTTCCCCACACGAGGGCCGACCGCAGGAGATGTCCTGACCGTGCCTCATGCCCTGGAAGGAGCAAGAGGAAAACTCCTCTCATTTCAAAGATGACTCCTCTCATTTCACGGCGGGGCCACTTCCACAGGGGCCGACGTGCAGCTCTGGCCCCGGCAGGCTCCAGCTCCCACCTCCAGCAGCCGACTCCCACGGCCCCGAGAGCGGCCAGCGGACGGTACCGGGAGGGGCTGGCCACGGACAAGTGGTCTGAGGAACCGGAGCGCTCAGGGCCATGAAAGGCTCCGCCACGGTGAGGACCACGGGTAAGAGGCTGAGACTGAAACCAAAAGTGACCAGCTGCACGGTGCGGGCAGGGCCTCCCCAAGGGAGGCTGCAGACGGCAGGGCCGAGGGGGCTGGTCCCAAATCACCTTCGAATGAACGAAGGCAGAAAGTGACGAGCGGAAACGCACGCCCACGTTCCACCCGTATCTTTCCGTGATACCTGATCCCAGCGACCGCGACGGTTTCTGACATTCACGTTCAAGTACATCCTATGATCTCAGCGGCCCAGACTTGTGTGGGGACGATCCCGTGACAAATGTCCTAAGTCGGAGGACCGGCCTTACGGAAGGGTCACAGCGCTGAGCACGTGTCCACAGGACATGGCACATCTTTGTACCCTGAGCTGACGACCCTACAGCGTCAAGGACGGGTCGGGAACAGCCCCCACGTGGCAGCTCGTGGGCAAAATGGGAACAGCTCTCGGAAGAACGTCACAGGTTCACGCTGCTCACGCGTCGGCCACGCCTGGCACCGCAGGGACTTGTTGAGGTCTGGGTGGGGGCCGGGCAGGCCAGACTGCACGTCCCAGGGCCACCCAAGGGGAGCGAGCACAGAGGTCCCTGCAGGACGCTCCCATGGAGGTAAAAGGTGCCGCGGAGGTCGGGCGCGGTGGCTCACGCCTGTAATCCTAGCACTCTGGGAGGCCAAGGCGGGAGGATTGCTCGAGGTCAGGAGTTCAAGACCAGCCTGAGCAAGAGCGAGACCCCGTCTCTACTATAAATAGAAAGAAATTAACTGGCCAACTGATATATATAGAAAAATTAGCCGGGCATGGTGGCGCATGCCTGTAGTCCCAGCTACTCGGGAGGCTGAGGCAGGAGGATCGCTTGAGCCCAGGAGTGTGAGGTTGCTGTGAGCTAGGCTGACGCCACGGCACTCACTCTAGCCTGGGCAACAAAGTGAGACTCTGTCTCAAAAAAAAAAAAAAAAAAAAGGTGCCCCCGGAGGGAGGTGCATGCGTCTGGGACACCCTACTGGGCAACAGCAGGTGGAGCGTCTGCAGCAGGCCTGTGGCCACCTGTACACCTGGCACCCTGCGGCCACCGACTGCCTGTGGTCCCCAGCCTGTGCCTCCCGCACCTGCACGTGGCCCTGGGACACGGCAGGCGCCTCCCGTGGCAGATGCCACTCTTGATACAGGAGAACCTGCCGCACATCGATCTGTGCTCTTGGAGGTGACTCACACAAGCAAATGCTTTAGGACCTAAGGTTACATGCGAAAAAAAAGCGAAAATGTGTATTTGCACTCAGCTCAAAACCATGAGAACATACATGTACTGTGTGTACACAGGTGCACACACACACACACACGTGCAGAAAAAAGACCCGACAGTAACCCCTAAAAGTCGACACCGCTAAGCTCCAGCCCTTGACGATGCAGCAGGACGCTGGTGGTCTGACCTGGCGGCGCCCAACAAGGTGAGGACGGAGGCGGGGCCCCAGCAGGTGGGCGGCGGCCCTGGGAGGAGACGGAGACTCAGGCCCCGGGAAGGCGTCCTCCCCTCCACACGGCGCGTCCCTTTCCACAGAACCTTCCGTCCCCACAAACGCTCTGGGGCAACGCCAGGGCTCCCACTGCAGGTGGAGGGTCTGACACCACCCGCCCAGAGCAGTCCCTTCTCAGAGGTCTGAGAACTGCCCTGTTTCTCTTTTTCTTTCTTGTTCTCAGGGGTACTGAGACAGGGTCCTGCCCTGTCGCCAGGCAGGAGCGCAGCGGTGCGACCACGGCTCACCGCGGCCTCCAAGCCCTGGCTGCGCGTGGAGCGAAGGGGCCGTGGGCTCCGCTCACCCCCAGGAAGGGGCCTCCAGCCGCCGGCTTTCAGACAGCGCTCTGGGGGAGGCAGCACCGGCCCTGTGACTGGACTGCAAACACTCTGGAACATGCCGTCACCAGACCTAAGTCCCTCTGTTTCACATTTAAACGGCCCGGGTGCCTCTGCGTGGGCCTGCCTCACGGGGTCTCTCCGCACGGCCCCAGGGCCCAGAGCCACCCAACGCAGGCTCCTCTCTGTCCAGGGCCCTGCTCCGGGAAGAGCCGCCTGCAGAGAGAAACAGCCAGGCTCTCGGGCAGGAGCGTCACCTGGCGGGAACGGCAGCTTCCCACCGCAGGGGCGAAGCAGCTAAAGTTTGCTTTAAGATAGAAACACCCCCACGCCCACCCCACGCCTTCCTCTGGTGACATTTCCGCCACTCCTGGCAGAACAGGTGCCCGTCGTGCAGGTGGGAGCCATCGCTGCCGGCACCTGGAGAGGCTGTGCAGCCGTGCGGGGCCTGCTCCTCTGCGCGTCTCTCTGCCAAGGCGTGAGCCAGGCGCCTCCACACTCCCCCCCCCCCCCCCCCCCGCTCTGCTGGGAGCATTCTGTGGGAGCCCTGTGCACACGGGAGGGGGCTGGGTGGCCCACACTGGGGCGTCCTCGACCGAGAGCCGGGACTGGGCTGTGGCCGACAGCCCCAGAGCCAGGCAGGGCGTGTCGGGGACAGACAGCCACACCGGGGCCCTGGGGCCGCGGCAGGGGGCAGCCCCCGGGCGGCAGGGGGCAGCCCCCGGGCGGTGTTGGGGAGGCCCTGAGGCTCTGGGCGGAGACCACGGCGGGTCCGGGGCCCTGCGACCTCCAGGAGGCGGGGCCCAGAGAGTCAGAGCCCGGGCAGGTGCGCAGGTGACCCCCCACACGGCGCGGCCAGCTGTGGGCCCGGGAGAGACATTCCCGTGGGTGAGCCACACGCCTGCCCCTGCCGCCTCCCATAGCCTTTCACAGGACCGACGTCCCTCTGCTGAGCTCCGGCCCTCAAGCTGCCCCAGGGGCTCGAGTGACGGCAGGGAGCCCTGGAAGGCGACGGCGGCCACGCTGGCCGCAGAGGAGGAACGGCTGAGAGAGGACTCGGGACTCCTCCATCTTTCGAAGCCTTCTCGGGGTGACATCACCCAGTACACGTGGCGTCCGGTGTGGACGGTGGCTTCAGGGAACGTAATTTTCCTTTAAATCAACATTCCATTTCCCAACAACCCCTAAGCTCTTCCCCGTGACTCCGGCCCCCTCCCAACGAGCAGACTCTCAACTACAGAAACCCTCGTGGAGACGAGACAACGCCTGGCACCCGGGTCAACGTCCCAGTGACACACGGCTCAGAGCTACGGCCGACTCCTACAGAGGTGTGTCTGGGAGCCTGCGCGGCTCGGCGAATCCGCCGCACCCGCCCCGGGGGTCGTGGGTCAGTGTCTGCCGCTTGGGCTGGGCGCGGCCGTGCCAGGTCAGCACTGTTAGCCAGACGCCCGTGTGCTGTTGTGTCTGGGGCTGCCCTTGGCCGCGTCAGAGCTTCCCCGACAGACGGCGCCGCTGGGAGGGGCCGGGTGGAGCACGACCGGGAGGGTCCCTTCGTCCCCCGTCCTGTGCACGACCGGGGCACACAGGGCAGGCGAGGACGGGACAGGAGCGCGTGCCCTTAGCACCCAGGCCACGTGTCCACCACGCAGGAGGGCCGGCCCGTGAGGAGTGGGCCTCCATGGGGAAGAGACGGCTCGTGTGACCGCACCGGGTGGGCTTCCAGCCCTGCGGCGGAGTCCCCCTCCCCCCCGCCCCCTGCCGGCCAACACAGCATCGGCCTACCTTGGTCTCCCTCTCATTCCCCTCGGCGTGGACCACGTAGGGGCTGCCTTCCTTCTGCGGGTTCTCAGACACGATGCGCACCTCCACCCCCGGTAGCGGGGTCCCCACGGAACCTACGCAGGGAAGAGGGGCAGAGTCAGAGAAGTGTGGAGGAGAGACCCGCACGCGGCGCTCGCACCCTGGCCAGGACTCCTGCGTGTTCAGCCGCAGGCTGTGCGTGCCGCAGGTCAGCGAGAGCGACCGGGTGACGCTATGACGACGGCCCACCGCGGCCGCGGCAAGTGGTTGCAAGCTCGCAGGGCACTGGCAGGCTCCAAACGCTTCACACGTCACTTCCCAAGTGATTCCGGGGGCCTCGGGACCACTGGTGGGCTCTAGTGTCGGCTCCACGTTAGCTGCACCCGCCTGGCCAGGGAGCACAGGCCATGCCGGGACAGCCTGGGGCCTGCCGAGCACGTGGCGCCAGAGGCCCAGGCTGTACCCGCGGGGCTCAACCGCACGACACTCCGGGACAGTGAAGGGCAGGAGCAGAGAACAGGCCGCGGGCCTGGGGCGGGGGGCCGCGTGCGACCACAGAAAAGGGGAGCCCCGAAAGGGTCTCTGAGGCGAGGAAATGCCTCTGCCTTGATTACGACGGAGTTTTCAAACTCACAGAACCGCCGCCCAGAGCGTGAGTGCCATGCTGCGTGAGCCCAGGTGGCCGAGCAGACACGGAGACAGGAGGGCTCACCCCACTCTCACTTCCAGACTGAGCCTGCTCTGGACAGGCTGGGGTGGACTCGACGCCCACCGTCCCGCCCGCCGCCACGGGCACGGCGTGGCAACCCGGCTCTGACGCCCACGGGAGGCCCTGCCACTGCTGAGTCTGGAGTGGGCAGAGCCCTCGAGGCATCCTGCCCTGAGAACACCTGCCAACACCTGTGTCCCAGGCGCCTGCCCGGGTAACGCAGGCAGGCACCTGCGTGAAGGGCACCCTCCCACCGTGCCCCGGACACCTGCCCAGAGGGGACAGGTCCTAATAGACGGCGAGGGCCCCAGAGGGCTCCGCTGGCCGGTCCCCGGGGGCCGGGACTGGCCCACCTGAGGGCTCAGGGCAAAGTGGGGGAGGGGCGCCGCAGCGGGAACTGCTCCTACCTGGCAGGCGTGCCCCAGTGAGGGGGCCAGACAGGGCCATGCCGACCTCCGTCATCCCGTACCTCTCCAGCAGGGTGTGCCCCGTGATGCCCTTCCACTTCTCCAGCACGGGAAGGGGCAGGGCGGCCGAGCCCGAGACCATCAACCTGCACGGCACAACCAAAGGCAGCCTTAGCTTCTGACAGGGCTCGGCACTCGTGCGCAAAGACGACGCCTCTCTGTACGTATTGATACGCGAAAACAGAGACCACGTAAAGCACCCTTCGCTCAGTATCACCATTTTTTAAAACTTTATTTTAGCGTATTGGGGGGGTACAAGTGTTTAGGTTACGTATATTGCCCATGCCCCCCCCCAGTCAGAGCCTCAAGCGTGTCCATCTTCCAGACATTGCATATCTCACTCGTTGTGTTTGTATACACCCATCCCTCCTCCCCCTCCCACCTGCCCGACACCCGATAAATGTTATTCCTATGTGTCCACTGAGGTGTTGATCCATTAATACCAATTTGCTGGTGAGTACATGTGCATCACTATATTGTTTTACTTTATTTATTTATTTTTTTCACACTGTAGAGCGGGGTCTCAGCTCTTGCTCCCGGTCCGGTCTCGAACTCCCCCCAGCTCCAAGGGCGAATCCTCGGCCCTCCCCAGAGAGCTGGATTACAGGTGTGAGCCCCACTGTGCGCGCGCGTGAGACTTTTAAATTCACTTTTTTAAATTCTTGATAAAAACCGTAGCGTACTAAAACTTAACTCTAGCTTTTGGAAAATAATTTGTTATGTATATTTTAGAATGAAAACAGGTCCTTCAAAAAGGATGAATGGTTAATCAAGGCCAAAAAAAAAATGATTTTGGAATCTTTCGCGTAGCCACTCATTGCAAATAATTAATATGCTGTTCACAAACAATCCCTAAAAAAAGCAAATAATGGCGCTAACGAAGACGACAATACCCTTAGTTTACAGATGAAATGCTCCCACGCTGAGGAGCAGGGAGCCAGACACGTGGGGGGGGGCTGAGCGCCACAGAGCCGGACAACGCCCAGGGAGGCTTGGGGGCCAACAGCGAGGACGAGGACGTTTAGTCAGGTCAGTCCGTGAGCTCCCGCCCTCCTCTCCTACGGCGCTTCCCTTAGGCCCCACGTGCGGAAGGGAAGACCCTTTCGTCTGCAGTCTGGGCCAATGGCACCCAGCCACTGTGGACTCCTCTGCAGGTGCAACCCCAGTGGACTCCCACGACCAGACCAGCCAACCTCTCACCTGTCACAGGAACCCCCTGATGCTCCCTCACTCCTCAACCTTGGTTCCTTTGTTTTTTTTTTCTGAGACAGGAGTCTCACTCTGGTTGCCCTTGGCTAGAGTGCCATAGGTGTTCAGCCTAGCTCACAGCAACCTCAAACTCCTGGGCTCAGCGATTCTCCTGCCTCAGCCTCCCCCAGTAGCTGGGACCCACAGGCATGCACCCAACCATGCCGGCTAATTTTCCGTCTAATTTTAGTTGGCCAAATAAGTTTCTATTTTTGTATGTAGATGGTCTCAAGTCTGTTGCTCAGGCTGGTTTCAAACTCCTGACCTTGAGCGATCCTCCCAGCTCGGCCCTCGTCCAGAAGTGCTGGGATTCAGGCGGAGCCCACCCGCGCCCGCCCGTCCTTGGTTCTTTACAGGCGGCAAATTGTGCCACTGAGCACTCCCACACCCCTGTCAGCTCTGCCAGCCCCAGGCCCAATGGCCCCAGAGGGCGTCCTTCCCTGAACTCAGGGCCGTGCCAGAGCAGCGGGATGGGAGCACAGGCCAAGTCGTCTCTATAGATAGGGCGCAGAGCGATGGCACTTGGGCAAGAACACCCCCCCCCTCCTCCCCGCCCAAGCATTTGTCGCGATGACCCAGAATTCGCTCCGGGCACGAAGGTGCTTCCTCCGAGCGGCCACGGGACATCTGCACGAAGCGCATCTGAGCTGCACTCAAGCTCCCTGGCGTCCAGCAAGAGCCTGTTCCTCCCTGCTGGGCGCTGCCCCGTCACCTCTTCCACTTGCGACAAAGGGAAGACATCCCAACCCACCCGGGCCTCCGCGGGTAACGCAGGTCCCTCGGGTGTGTGGGGACTCTCCGAGCTACATGCTCACACCTGCGCTTCCCAGTTAGTGACTCACACGTTGATAAAAAGAGGGAGGAGAAACCCGCAGTGTCTGCAGGTTCGCCTGGGAACCCAGAGAC